TTCCAAGGTCCCATCACACCGACTGAAGGTTGGGACAATCATATCCAAAGTATCCCAGACTCTTCTATAAAAGAACGAGGCTGAAATACTTTGGAGGGGGTATCTGTAGGCATGTAAAATTGCTTATAGATCCCTTAACATGGCTCGGCACAAACCGATGAACCAACGAGGCGACAAGGTTAACGAATCGCACGCGAGCAACAGAATGCATCCATTTGCGTGCAGAATCAAGCCAACGGTTCGGGGAGTCAACGAGTCATCCAAACAAGAGCGGACTCGAATGAACCACGACCAAATCAAGATTGGTTTCGGACTCGAACTCAGAAGTGGATCTACTGCCTAATCAGGAATCGGATCTACTGTCAAATCAGGTCAACAAATTGAGTCCAGACAAATCAACCGCACAACCGAATCACGGACAAAACGGGAACAACGACAAAACGACGGAACCCAAACACCCTGAGGGGCTCGGCCGAAACCGAGCCCAAAACTCTGCCGAATTGAAGATTGAGCTCAGAGTTTTGAAGACTTGAAGACTTGAAGATTCAGATCTGATTCTCGGCGAACGTCCACGTCACAAAAGGCAGGATTTCGAGAGAGGTAAAGATCAGATCTGAGATCTACACGAAATCAGACTCCGGATCAAAGCTTGGCCTTTGATCCCGAGAATTAAAGGCTACTATTTCCTTGGCGAAATAGTACCCTCGACTATTATTTCCTTTGCGAAATAATACCCGTCGAATCGTGTAGATCCGACCGGATCTAGATCGCGCGGTGGTCCACGGATTAACCCCGGCGTCGGCAAAGAACCCACATAAGCAAGAGACCGCAAAACAGGATCTTGCGATTTGTTCTAAAGGAAAGTTGTAAAAGGAAAGTTATAATTTTTTCTTTTTTCTTTGATTTTCATTGTAACCGGATCTAAAAAAACCGGATCTTTTGTAACCGAAAAACAGTTATTCAAGATAACGATGAATTCAATGAAGGCAATTTTTCCCGCGAACAAATAGCAGTTTGTGTTATTGGTTTAGCAACATGTTTTTGTTACCTATATGCATGTTGGGATTTGCGGCAATATTTTCATCTCAACCTGTTCAGTGGTGTATTTGAACTCAGACTTTGAACATGAGTCCCTGCATTCTTCTCAAACTTTTACAAAGTGTTACTAATCCAATTCAAGAGATATATATTTGAACTCAGACTTTTCTTTTGTGAGTTTTTGGCATAAACAAATAGCAGTTTGTGTTATTGGTTTAGCAACATGTTTTTGTTACCTATATGCATGGTGGGATTTGCGGCAATATTTTCATCTCAACCTGTTCAGTGGTGTATTTGAACTCAGACTTTGAACATGAGTCCCTGCATTCTTCTCAAACCTTTGCAAAGTGTTACTAATCCAATGAAAGAGATATATATTTGATCTTAGACTTTATTTACACATGAGGACTGTTATTTATCATTCTCACATGTTTTTCTTTTGTGAGTTTTTGGCATATAACAATAGCAGTTTGTGTTATTGGTTTACTCACATGTTTTTGTTACCTATATGCATGGTGGGATTTGCGGCAATATTTTCATCTCAACCTGTTCAGTGGTGTATTTGAACTTAGACTTTGAACATGAGTCCCTGCATTCTTCTCAAACCTTTGCAAAGTGTTACTAATCCAATGAAAGAGATATATATTTGATCTCAGACTTTATTTACACATGAGGACTGTTATTTATCATTCTCACATGTTTTTCTTTTGTGAGTTTTTGGCATATAACAATAGCAGTTTGTGTTATTGGTTTACTCACATGTTTTTGTTACCTATATGCATGGTGGGATTTGCGGCAATATTTTCATCTCAACCTGTTCAGTGGTGTATTTGAATTCAGACTTTGAACATGAGTCCCTGCATTCTTCTCAAACTTTTGCATTACATTTTCAAACAGCTGATTACAATGTTTATGACAACAAGGGAAATACTAAATATTCCTAAAACAACAATACATTTCTTCAAGTAAACAACTTGTTGGTTTGCAAGCTTCAATTCTCTTCGCAAGTGCTTGGTTTCCACATCTTTACTTTGGGAAACTGATAGAGGAGAGGGACATTCAAGAAAATTTACCTGACGCTTGTTATCTTGATGCTCTTCTGCCCACCTAAAATACTGGCATTGCCTATTTGGGTAGTTGGCGCAGCCCTAAAAATATTTGCCCTTGTTTACTCCTGTTTTGCAAAGCTTCATTGGCGTCGGTATGTTACAGTAGCAAGTTACCTCTGCAGCTAATTCATGAGTGTCTTGGCTTGTTTCCATATCGCAGCTTTAATTGCCTCTATGCTCAAGTATTTTGCCCAGGTTTCTTGCAATTTTATGAGAGAATATGTTGAGGAGGATTGAGTTGATCCCAACTATATAAGTGCAGGGGTGGGGTAATTTATTTCCGTTGGCAAAATATTGACGTTACAAATGATCTGCACTGTTTTGAGATGTGGTTTTTTGACCGTTGTATTTTTTTACCGTTGGGTGTTTCAGTTGAGCGTTATGGGGAGGTAAGCTCACCGATTGATTTCAATAATGGTTTCCTATATTTGAGGTTGTGGCATACGAACAGGTGAAATTCAAGAAATGTGACAAAGGACAATACATTTCTTTAATTGCATAGTGTTGAAACGAACATAAGAAATGTGAATTTTGATTTCAATCCCTTGATTTCCATGTTGAAACGATCGAACATAATACTTCAAATCTGAGAAACCACATTGAAATGCTGGGAAATAGATTTCGTGGTACATTGCTCATTTCTTTTTTTTTTCCGGAAAACAACCGAACAGACCCTAAGGCACTTGGAAGAATTTTATCTCAAAAATGGTTTTTTGGCAAAGAACCTTTAATTGCCTAACATGTCTGGGCCTCCGGAAGATTGGAGGACTCTTAATGGATAAAAGCCTAGGTATCAATTTTTTTTAATTTTTAAAATCCACTTATAAATTGTCGTCTCACTATATTAAAACTTTAAAATTGTCATGAAATTTAAAGATTATAATTTTAGGCTAATAGTTTCGTTCATTAGTTCCATTTCAAATAACAACTATGGGATTTTATGTGCTAGGTTTTTGTCGTAGCTGAGCCAAACCCCAGACGTATTGTGTGGTTCACTATAACGAAATAATATTATATCTCCATGCATTTGAGGTACTTTGGATCAATTATTAATTGCTTATTTCATTGAAACCAATAATTGTAGTTGTTGTTACAATTGCAAATAAAACTGCAGTTGCAATGGTAGACTTCCACAAATTTGAGTGGAAGTAGTAATTGCAACATTTTTTTGAGCTACAAAAGGGGTTCATAAAACAACTCTCATTACAACATATACACCCCAAGAGGGGGCCTAGCCACAGGCACGCTAGGGGCTCACCCAACATGTGTCGTTGTCATAGCGGGCGTGAGCTCACCCCCTCGGCGCGAGTGTGGCTAAACTGGCCCATATCCCAATCCAACTCTAGACAATCCGCCTGTGCAAGCCCCCATTCTCTTAATAGTAAAATTGTATTCAAGTTGAAATAAAAATTTATTACTACAAATGAGATCCTCGTTGGCTCGTGCTAGGATACCTTGGGGCCTCTAGACTAGGCTGTGCAAATGGTCGGTCAGTTCGGTTTTTATCAAATTTTGAACAATCGAACCGAACCATCCATTATTCAAAACCGAACTGAACTGTTGCAAGTCGGGTCGGTGCGGTTCGGTTCGGTTTGTTCTGTTCTAATCAAGATGTATTCAAATATTGTAGACAGATTTATTCATGTCTATTATACAACCTTCTCTTTTGCTCACAACTTATATAGGTACTAACATGCAAGGATATTGAAAAAAAACACTAATCTAAACAAGATAAAGCGATAAAGAAGGGGGAACATCCCAGGGGCAGCAACAATCAGCTGCAACTTAAAACAAAACAAATACATCTATAAGCTACATGAAGGGAAGAAGCTATTTTAACATATACAAAGACCCAAGAGTATAAGACCAACAACGATAATTAAGAAAGCATAATTATCCTTAAAGATATATAGAAAAGAGAAACATCCTTGCCACAAGCCTCTCTAGGAGTAAGGAATTACTTCAGAATGGGTTCATATAACTCAAATTAGGGTTTATGTATTGATATTTGAGGGATTTTAGTGAACGGGTTAGGTATGGTTTCTAATGGTTACAGGTTAAAAAATTATAGTGTTATTAGTGATGCAGTCGATTCGGGTTCAGGTTGAAAAGTTTTCAACCCAATCCAAACCGACCTACAAACAAAACCGACCCGAACTGTTAATTTTTGATCGGTTCGGTCGGTTTTTTTGGTCTGGACCAAACCATGCACAACCCTACTCTAGACATAGCCAAATCAGTCTCTTTGTTTTTCTTTTAAAATTGAGTAATCCTACGAACATGATGTTTTAGATTTAAGAGAAAGTACTCTAGAATGTTTAGACATACAGTGTGTTTGAATGGAGCTTAGAGAAGGGAAGAGGAAGAGAAATTTGAATTTAACCTTGTTTGGAAGTTCTATTAGGAGGGTAGAAGAGGGGAAGTGAGGAAAATTTTGCACTAAAATTTTACCCTCCAAATTGGGGGATAAATGAGGGAAAGGAAAGGAAAAGTTTAAACTTCCTTCCCTTTCCTTAGGCTATGTTTGGTTTGAGAGAAAGAGAGAGAAAAGAAAAATAAAGGAAAAGAAAAAGAAAAAAGAAAAAGATATTCTTTTTATTGTTTGGTTAGAAAGAATATTATATGAAAAATTAGAAGAAAATTCATAAGAAAGTCATTTTCTCTTGTTTGGTTACCTTTCTAAGAAAAAGAGGAAGACAATTATCACAACTTAATTTTAATTCATACCTTTTGGAATTAGATTTAGATTTTAGATAATTACAAAAAATAATTAACAAGCAGAAACACAACCACAATTCTACTAATTAAAAAATAACATTTCTCACATATAATATTTGCAGAAAGAATGGTCAATGAGAGAACCAAAACAAATTTAAAGTAAATGTCAAGATATTCCTAATATAAAGTATAATCTATTTCTAGTCACGAAAATTATTATAATCAATTTCATATAGAAAATCTTAACCAACAAAGTCTATTACAATCAATTTTATATAGAAGATCTTAACCAACAAGTCTATTACAATCAATTTCATATAGAGATTCTTAAAGAGAGAGAGAGAGAGAGAGAGAGAGAGAGAGAGAAATATGCTGAAGTCCTTGGTTTTTGACTTTAGTGAGCCCATCAAAACATCAATCTCGCATCCTTCACCCCATGAAATTAATTCAAAAAAATTCAAATAAGTAGAATATAAACATCGAAAACCTATAAAATGAAGTCTTAACATTTTTTTAGAAGCAAAATAAAACTACCACTCATCGTATCATGGTTCTTTTCTTAAAACTAATCATCAGAAATGATAAAAGTAACTAATCAACGTAATGTTAAGTTTGTCCTAGAAACATATGGCTTTGTGTTCTAATATTGTGAAATTTACTGAATACTTCCAAATGGAGAGATAACTTGAAGGCATGCTTATTGTAAATCTGTATATAAATCAGTATGGGAGAAAAGAATTTCAAAGCAATAAACTTAGAACTAGAAAAAATTTACTGTAGAATGCAATGTAATAGTGACAAAAATTTTAACAATTTTATAAAGAAAGACGAATCAAAGATAGCAGTGATTTAAAAAACTTACGCCTTCTTCTTGCCGCCCTTTTTATTGTGTTGATTAAGCATATGATGAGATGGTATGATCAATGGATTAATGATCCTGGTGGAGGTCATTTACATGAGCTAGGGTAAGTAACATTGCATGCATGTAGTCTAAACAAAACAGCAACAACTTCTTGAACATAAATGTTCTTTACATTTTCACACCCACTAGCGTGTATATATCCATGTTCCTTTGTGTGTGCGCATGCGCATGTGCGTGTGGTTTTCCAGCATTCTAATTGATTGTTGTGTTATATAAACTGCACAAACAGTACGGTATTAAGCTGCTAATGACTTGGGCGTACTGATGGCCAAAAAGCTTTCAGACCAATGACTTAGGCGTACTGATGGCCAAAAAGCTTGGTCTGAAAGCGAACGCCCAAGGGCTTCGAACATTGCTATAATAAATACATCATATTAGTGTAGAGGAAATCCAATAACACCTTATTAAGTAACTAAATGAGCAAATAGAGAAAAGTCTACAGATTCTATACTCATTGTCTAGAAGCTTTCAAGAAAAGGGTTTACCTCAGACTAATTTGGTGAGGTTATGCAATATAAGGAGTAATGTTTTCACACTTTTTTAGATGTGAATTATGTATAAAGAGCAGGAAAGGAAGGGATATATTAAGCTTCCATGGATGGAAGTTGCAATAAATGAGCAGGAAAGGATTGCATTCTGCTTTTGAATCTGGCCCTTAATGGGACTGGCCAGTGAATGGTGATCATTGAAATCAAAGTGTCAAACTGAAGTAGATAGCTTATGTTTGATAGTTATGATCATGTGCTTGATATTGTTTTCGCATTCATGTATTAGACGATGAGTTTATCATGTGTTGCTTCAACTCATTATCAGAATGTGTCAAGGACCATAAAGGAAAGAAAGTCTTTAAATAAACATTCTCCTTAAATAAAATCTGTTTTATTTACCTTGTTTCCAACAGCTAGATGAGTACCATCAGGTTTGAAAGTGATGTTGATATTTTCTCCACTGAGTTCAACTTGTTGAGAGCATTTTCCACCTAGAAACCATATATTAGTAAGCAGGTAACCTTTAAAAAACAAGTAATTATAAAACTGAATTGTCTCTTTAGCAGCTACAGCATTTCTAGAAAAGTAAAAGCACCAAAAGAGTTACATTCATGCAAGGAGTAACTGAGTTTCTAAGATGCCTCATAGGAAACATGCCCTATTTTTGCACATTTCAAAGAAACCAAAACTTGTGTGTTCTCTAACTACTTATATCACAACCATAAGTATCGTGCTACAACACAGACACAATAAACCGGTAGCAATTCTTCGTAATTATTAAACTGTTACATGATTATATATGCATTTTTTTGTAATACATTTATATGCAGTCATAAAATTATATTTATTGTGTTGGTACTCATAAATGAAAGAACTTAAGCAGGAACATTATTTATAAGACAATTATCAATGGTAGGAACAATGTACTCTATTATTACATATGTTTTGAGACTACAAAAAGTTCAATATCAAAGTCATGTACGACCACATCAGATGTGCTTATTTCAGTTAGGCAGGCTCTCTTACGTTAAATTTATACGTACCAGATAATGTTTAGTAATTAGTATTAAGATATTTGTAAGCATTTTGACACCGTATTATATACCCCTCAAAATTAAGCAAAATGGGGAAGTCGCTGATCCGTCCTTCAAATGGTGGAATCATAGAACATATTGCCTAAACCCATTATTTTACAAAGATAACTGCCAAAATCCAAATTTTAGGTGTAGCAAAAGTTCTCGCCTTTTTTTTGTTGGAGGATGTAGGATGAAGCTACCACTCAGCCATAGACTACATAACAATTATACAACATAAAATACATAACATAAAACACCCATAACATGCAAAACAAAATTCTGACCAACCATAGTTCACCAGAAAAAAGCAATTTTTTCTATAAAACACAGGAAAAATACTAGAGCTAATGCGACAGCAACTACCATTGAGATTCAAAGTTCCAACGGAAAAGGGGTAAACCACATAACTCTTTTATGCTGTTTCAACATATATTAAATTAGTTGAATATATCACAATAAAACAGTCAGATAACTGTGCAATTGAGGTACAAAAATCTTTAATTTTTTCAATATTCATGCTAATATTTCACCATAAACGGCATCAAAACGCAAGTCAAATGATTTGAGGACACTTCCTACGAGCATCCTATAGACAGAACGTCTTGTCTCCTGCCGTAGTTACGACCAAGTCATTGTGCTTAGGATCCCAACACAACTGATCCACACTATCGTGTGCCCTTTCAGTTCAACATCTCTCACTTTCCTCTAAATTAAGGACACAAAACAAAGATTCTTGCTACTTTTATTCTACACAATCAAATGTAGAATGGGAACACTGTTTTCTTGCAGGAATATAAACTTCTATATTGAGGATATGAAGGGAATAAAACTAGAAGAAATTAATCTAATAGAGCTATGGAGTAAAAGAACTGACAAATTCTATCATGCAAATTCTATGAATTATAATGGCACCATGAGCTATCAATCAAATAATTTTGGCTAGCAGTATATTATAAATTACATTAAAAAATCTAAATTTCTGCCATTTCCCTTTACGACAAAGCTACTAAACAATACAAAAGCTAAATTTGGAAGAGCAGATAATAAGTAAATTTTGTTAAAAACAAAAGTTCTGCTAGAAATTAGATGGTAAAGCCCATATCAATTGCAAAAATAAGTAAATTTTGTTAAAAACAAAAGTTCTGCTAGAAATTAGATGGTAAAGCCCATATCAATTGCAAAAATTAAAACCCTAGAAAATCAAAATATGGAATACTAGAAATTAGATGGTAAAGCCCATATCAATTGCAAAAATTAAAACCCTAGAAAATCAAAATATGGAATACTTGTAATTAAAAAAAACCCTAGAATCTAAACTTACCTTCTCTTGATCTGAGGATTGGGGATCGGAGATAAGTGGAGATCGGGGGGCAGGAGACGAGATTGGAGATCGGGAAGTGGAGATCGAGGGAGAGAAGATCGGAGGCTAGAGGTGATCGAAGGTGGAGCTCGAGCTTGAGCTCGAGAAAGAAGAGATCGGAGGCCAGAGGTCGAGCTCGAGCTCGAGCTAGGTCGACTAGGTCGGGGATGGAGTCGGGAATTTTAAGGAGGCGTCGGGGGAGATTCTCTCTCTCTGTCTCTCATTTTCGCTCTGTTTGAGTTGAGAAAGGAGAGGGGAACTAAAAATATACGTGACTTTCTCTGCTGATTTTAACATTCACTTTCCTTTTCATTTTCTTTCAAACCAAACAAGGAAAATATACTTTCTATTGCACTTTCTTTTCCTTTCCTCTACTTTCCTTCAAACCCACAAAACAAAGATTCTTGCTACTTTTATTCTACACAATCAAATGTAGAATGGGAACACTGTTTTCTTGCAGGAATATAAACTTCTATATTGAGGATATGAAGGGAATAAAACTAGAAGAAATTAATCTAATAGAGCTATGGAGTAAAAGAACTGACAAATTCTATCATGCAAATTCTATGAATTATAATGGCACCATGAGCTATCAATCAAATAATTTTGGCTAGCAGTATATTATAAATTACATTAAAAAATCTAAATTTCTGCCATTTCCCTTTACGACAAAGCTACTAAACAATACAAAAGCTAAATTTGGAAGAGCAGATAATAAGTAAATTTTGTTAAAAACAAAAGTTCTGCTAGAAATTAGATGGTAAAGCCCATATCAATTGCAAAAATTAAAACCCTAGAAAATCAAAATATGGAATACTTGTAATTAAAAAAAACCCTAGAATCTAAACTTACCTTCTCTTGATCTGAGGATTGGGGATCGGAGATAAGTGGAGATCGGGGGGCAGGAGACGAGATTGGAGATCGGGAAGTGGAGATCGAGGGAGAGAAGATCGGAGGCTAGAGGTGATCGAAGGTGGAGCTCGAGCTTGAGCTCGAGAAAGAAGAGATCGGAGGCCAGAGGTCGAGCTCGAGCTCGAGCTAGGTCGACTAGGTCGGGGATGGAGTCGGGAATTTTAAGGAGGCGTCGGGGGAGATTCTCTCTCTCTGTCTCTCATTTTCGCTCTGTTTGAGTTGAGAAAGGAGAGGGGAACTAAAAATATACGTGACTTTCTCTGCTGATTTTAACATTCACTTTCCTTTTCATTTTCTTTCAAACCAAACAAGGAAAATATACTTTCTATTGCACTTTCTTTTCCTTTCCTCTACTTTCCTTCAAACCAAACAGAGCCTTAGTGATCTCCCAAACAGGACAATAGTGTATAAATACTCTTTTTTTGCGATCCTCAATTGAGCCCTGCTACAAGGGTTCATCTACAATTAACCCTTCTATTTCCGAATTCAAACTCCGTTCACATGTAGGTTGGTATTCTGGCGGTCCTGATATTAAAAAAGAAAAATGAAAAAAGAAAAAAATAAAGAAAAAGGAAACGAAGATTATTAGCATGTGTCCAACAAAGAATATCACTGCTTGATCCAGTAACAAGTCACATACATAACACAAAATCATAATCATTGACATTGACACGAGGTATTGTGCTATAATTTTGACTTATCAGTATAGTACCATTTCCCCAAAATATCCACATACCCATACAAAGATGCAACAACTGGAAAACATGTCCATTGAATTTATCGGTAGATACTATTCCATTGAATTTATCGGTAGATACTGATACGTCTATGATTACCCACCATCACATGAGTTGCTGCACAGCCTCTTTAGTATGCTATATGGCAGCAGCACGCGACTCTGATGGCAATGCCTCAGAGCATACTCGCACGCAATGCACGAGTCATGTCCTCCCTCTCTATACCCCTTGCATCCGCGACTGCACATGCTGATGACGCGAAGAGGAGAAGCTTCGGGAAAAAGGCAACATGTTTAACATTCCATTTCTTGAAATCTCTCATGTTCTTTGTCCAAGGAATGATAATTCCCGGGCCAATTTATATAGAGTTCACGGGACAAAGGGGGAGCTTAGACAAACATGCTGGTGGTTATTTGGAAATAAGTTGCTCGAACCACTAAGGAAACTAACAAAGATCATATGTCACACATCTTTATGCTAATAATCACTCTCAACATGGTGTAATTTAGATTCTTTTTTAGTGTGTAGCGTAGCAACTAACCATAATATAAGAAGAAAACAAAATATGGCCTTTCTATTCTAAGCAAATTTGTAATATCAATAGGACTTATTGCTTCAGTTCTAAGTGTTTGCTAATTTACTCTAAACACGTACCGTGAATGGCAATTCATTTTTTCTAAAAGGATTTACACTGGCTCATAAGTAGTTTGCAGCATAACGGAAAATAAAATTTGATATTAAAAGTCACATATAAGATAATTTATTGATGGTATATAATTTTACCTGTCTTTATATAATTTTACCTGTCTTTAAAATTATGTTAAAAAAAATTTGAACTCCTTGGTCCGTGTGCACTGATGTACATGTTTTTTTTTGTTTTTTCTAATACTAGAGTCTGTGCGTAGAGAGGGTTTTGAGTTTTTATCCGTATTCTTCATTTCCGTCCTAAAACATGAAGTTGTATAATAAATCACCTTATACTTTTAGTCTTCAACATCCCCTAAGCCTCTCAAGTTCCACTATCTCACAAACCAGGTCATAATCCCATCACCCTTCAATTTAACAATGCTCTTTGAATCTGGAAATTGTCCTCAGAACTCCATTCATTTGACAACATCCAACTTAACCTTTCATAAAATATTGCTATAATCATTTACAGAACCCTAATGACAAATTTGAAGAGTTCAAATGACACTAAGAAAGTCATGAAAAAGCATTTCAGTATTAGTTTTACGTTCTGCCCAACAACCAAATCTTGGTAGTAGAAACAATAAATCCTTATGTTTGTGACATTTATTTAGCTGCATATGTAATGATTAAGAAGCAACCACGCCTGCGGAAAAAAAACTAGTCGTAAGTCCTCATGAAAAATATTCTTAAGCATCGACTCTGTCATTTTTGTCCCAATTTCATTTAAAACAGCTTAAGGCTTTCCTGTAGTTAACTTCCTAACTAATTTCATAAGCTTCGAGCAAAGAATCACAGGCATGGCACATACAAAAAAGAAATGCAAGAAGAGACATAAGAGTAATTACAATATAATTGATATGCACTTCAGACATCAAACAACATTACCATAGAAATATTAGCGCTGCAGATCACATCAAGAGAAAGCCAATTGACTACATCAAATGCACTGCATATTTCAATGGACTTATGAAAGAGAATACATTATATCATGAGAAACATAAATGGATCATGTAGCCAACTTCTAGTAGAAAAGATAAAGGTATATCTTTTAAGTAAGATATGTACCTAATTTGATTCAACACCCTTGGGTTTTATTTGTTAATTAAAAGAGAATGTTTTATAATGTCCAGACTGTTGTGTTTTTTAAAACATTATGACCTGCCTTTAAAATTGATGTTATTGGGTAAATAATGTTTAACATGGACTCATGTAGAATTTAGTTCTTGATGTATACACGAAGGTATGCATACTCCCTCTTTTCAAGATTTTTTCCATTTTGTCAATATTTTGTTATATCAGTGCCTATATGACTATGTCCATGTTAGTGCAACATGTTCAGATCCATAAAAAGCCAATAAGGTCGATTAATAAATTGAGGAATCTATCTAACTGATGACATAGAGGCTCGTAAAACTGAAGGTTTATATACTCGAAACCTTGCCTATAATAAGGAGAGTGTGCACAAAGAAAAGAGAGAAAACAACATCATATCTTCGGTAAGCAAAGAAGATACGACAAGCATAATACCTTTGAGGAAAGCTTCAGACAGATTTCATTATATACTCGCCATGCAAATTTCTAAAAACTCTAATGAGGTGTTGCTGCAAGCTATCCTTTTTTTAATTGACTATGTGTCTAATGCAAGCAAATGGATCAACAAAACCAAGCACACGACATAATAAACATAATTTCACAATTTGAAAAATGAATTCCACTTGTGAAAACTTTCCCTCCTTTCCTTGTGTATATGGCCTAGAAACTTTTCTTATTTAGCATCCAGCTTGTTTCGTTGAAACGATAAGTTAAATTTCCAATATTCATCTAGACAAAAGAAAACAGCCATAAAGAGAGGACACAAAGATATGATGGCATTTATTGAATTCTCAGCAGCAGAAGGATGCACCATTCTATTTGTATATATATTGCAATTTTTTGTATTTAGTCACAATGAAAGGAGTTGGGTACGACAGAACCTGACTTTTTTCCAGAGCAAGCACTACTCCTGTAAGGCTCTCAATAATTGAGTTGAACTCTACTTATGGAAGCTCCTCCTGCTCAGCATTTCCCCGAATCTTTTCAGCACATTCTTCCTCTTCTTCTTTCTCGTAGGCGAACCATTAAGATAATCTATTCTGTTTGACTGAACCCCAGAAATATGATTGAAATCTATGGCACTTGATTTCCTATCTTCAGTGTATACAGATGAAGGAATTACAGAATCAGATACATTGCTAAGTGAAGGAAATAACTGTTTTTTTGGCTCCGCTGATGGCTCGTCTACACCGAGAGAATGCCTTGAGCTTTTTGAAGGTTTGCTTGTGGTATCCATAAATGGAGTCGCAGCGAGAAATCCCTTTAACTCCTTTACACTATCAACAGCCGTGGCTTCACTGACTTTAAGGCGCTGGTATTCTTGTTTGATGCTTTGCAATGAATTCTCCTTCTCTGACAATAATTCCTCGAGTTGGGAATTCTCTTTTCTAGCAATCTCTAGGGCTTCTTTAACCCCTGTAGCTTCATTCACTGCTTGTTTTAGTATGTCCCGAAGCTTAGAAGTCTCTTCCCTTGACTCCCCAAGCGACTCAATCAACTTCTTGTTCTCTAGCTTCAGTTTGGTGCTCTCCTCTTCAGTGACCTTCATCAAATTCATAATTTGACTCTCTTTTTCCTTCCATTCAGTAGCATAGTGCTCTGCGTCCATCCTCAATCTTTCAGATTCTTCCACTGATGATCTCAGTTTCTCATCTACGATCTTAAGTAAAGATTTAGATTGCTCAGCTTCTAGTTTCGCCTTCTCTATCTCAGATTGGGCGTTAGAGAGTTTTGCCTTCACTTGACTGGCGTCAGTAGTTACTTCTTTGAGTGCAATAGCCAAATCATCCATCGCCTTCTTGCTCTTCTCTTCTGCTTGCGTAGCCAACTTGAGCTCATTCCTAAGCATTGCGATCTCCTCCTGTGCTTGAATAATATCTAAAGGATACCGCTGTCTTCCTCCATTCTCAAGATTATTGCGAAAGGAACTCTCCTCTAAGCTTTTGATCTTATCTTGCAGTGAATGTATCTCTAACTTGGCCTCTTCGAGTAATATCTTTGTCTGCTCGAGTTGTTTAGTTTGTGAGGTCAAAGATTCTAGCATCTTCATTTCTGATTCTTTTGCCTTCTCCACCTTCTTCTCCAAAACCTCCATCTCTTCCTTATTGCTAAAAGCCAACAGCTTCCTATTGCTTCTCAACTCCTCAAGATCTTCTAGAGCTTTCGTTCTCTCATCCCTTGCCCTCCTCAGCTCCTCCTGAAGATGATGCAGCTGCATCTCCGAACCTCTACTGTTTTGCTTCTAAACAAGATTCCCATTAAACAAGGCCCACATAAGAAACACCTTCCTTAATCAAAAAGATCCCCGAGTTTCTTGGAAAAAAAAAATTACCTCCGTTAATGAAGAATGCTTGCCTGTAGGCTTTTTATCAGACATCTTAGCTGCTTTCGAATCCGGAGGCTCGATGGGAAAGTTCAACCCCTTAACTGATTTAGACGATGCTTGCGTTGATCTAGGTAATGAATGAGATCCTTGTGCTAGCACTTCAGCATGCCCAGATCTTTACAACATCAAATAAAGAACAAAAATCACTCAACTTAATTATAAAACCGAACCCAAGAGTAAATAACAGAGACCCATCAAATCATACCCATCATGAAACCACATGATATAGATTCCGGATCAAAAACCCGGTTGCAAAATCCTGATTTTGTAATTTAAATTAAAAAAAAACGCGAAAAGGCGACGACTTTAAATACCTGGGCTTGGAATTTTGCATTTTTAGAAGAGACCCAGATGTTATCTCCGCCAATAAACTCGGTGTTCTCTTCCTAAAATCCAGTACCCTATCAAAACTTAATTAGGGGAAATCAAGATGAAAAAAAAAGACGCTATTGAGACAAAATATAGAGACTGAGGTTATAGGCCGTTACCAGAATCAAGACATGCGGGGCTCGCCCTGTTGTGTAAGAGATCTGAGACTGAGGCTTTGTTGAATCTTTTCTTTTCTTTTAAGGAATGACTTTTGTTGAATCTGAACATGCTTTTACTCTATATTTTGATTAAATTAAATGATTATTTTAAGGGATTGAAAGATCCGAGAAGGAAAGGTTTATGGGGTTTTTGTTATTTCAAACACCAGAGTTTTGCTATTTATAAATTAGATCCTCAAATCTTCATATTACTAAACTAGAGCAATAAATCTATTAAGTTGTTATAAATAAGACCCTCAATGTGTAAAATTGTTTTAGATAGAACCCCGATTTTGAACAAACATGACGATTTGGTGGCCTGAATTGGAATATGAAGATTTAGGGGGTCTAAATATAGGCTTAGCAAAGATATAGGCTTTGACATAAAATAGCAACCCAATTAAACTAATCATTTAATTAATACCAATTTGACTATTCTTTAATTAACTCTTTCTCCTCAAAACTTAAAACAATCTTCCCCACTTAAAATATCGTCTTATAATTTCAGATCCATAATAAATCCTACTTTTATACTTATTCGTTAATAAATACTAATTTGACTACTTAATAAGATAATAACCAATAGTTCTTTTCGGCAACTGGTATAACCGCTAAAAATGCTAAATATTAATCTCCACAGAGAGGTCGACACGTGTCTTACACTCTGCCTAACCAAACCAATATGCAATCATGATGACATCCCGACTCAGCACGGCCAACTTGATTGGCCGACATCTCGTGTAACTGAGTCAAAATACGGTATTACTCAGGCAACCTCTCAATTGACCACCAGCAATACGACACAGACGACTTGACTGGCTAACATCTCTCGTAACCTAGTCAAAAGACGGTACTTCTCGGCCCTGGACCTAAGGAGTTGAAAAACAACAGTTACCTTGAACCCCTCGCCAGCCGACTACTCTCACATTAACTGCCTTGACAACATCATCATTACCCTAGCTCAGATAGTCTTTATGACTCATCGAACCAAGTCATCACCAAGCACATGCTGTTATTCCCACAATAAATGACCATGTGATTCACCTCATTCAGAAACTGACACATAGCACATGTATGCCGACTCAGTTGTCTAGTTGGACTCGGCCCAAGTTACCTTCTTGCCCCCCGAACCCACTATAAAATGAGCGGCACTGCATGAGGTAACTCTGTCTGGCCCTTTTTACGTAACTAAGCACTAACCATATTACTTCTCCACTCAAGACAAAACACTGACTTGATCATCGGTGGAACAACCGGAGAACCCAACTCCAGCCTCTTACGAGTTGTTTCATGTGCAGGGAAGAATATCAAGCCCCAGAACCATTCATTAGGAGGAGTTAGAGGACCCTTATTACTCCACAAACTTTCAGATAACCCCCTGTTTGATAACTGACATCAACAGCAACCAACCCCCTTTAACTGTAATTTTCACACGGATGGAAAAATTTACACTGGAGGGATATTTTGGCAATGAAAGTTATGGTTCATGCTATTCGGGGGATTTTTTGAAAAAAATAACTTAATGTTAAAAGAGGTTTTCTGATAACCTCTAAACTTAAAGGAGAGTTTTATGATATTTTGAGATCCACATGAGTCATGTAATAAATCATCAAAATTTAAGGGGGGTTTCTGATATTTAGCCTTAAATTTTCACCTAATTAACACTTAGTAATTATTACTATAAAAGCTGTATTACTGTTCTGCTACTGGACACTAAAAGGGGAGACACTTGTATTGCAACAAAGAGAAATTTTGATTTCTATAGATCAATTTCTTTTTGTATGAGTAGTGCAAGAATAGCACTGACTCGTCTATTATACTTAGCTTATATTTAGAAGATTGTGCATTTAATTTAGCAACCCATGCTAAGCTCAATCTTGCTCAATTTTATCGTAAACTAGAGTAGGTTTAAACTAAGAAAGGATGGTCCAACAAAGAACTAGTTTAAAGACTGCTTTTTGACTTGTTAAACCCCATAAAAAAATTCACAAATAATAAAAAACCGCATTAAACATTCCGACATTCTAAACTTAAGGAGCTTGGGCTCAACAAAGAGTGATTCTATCATCTTTCATGAAATATTTCCGAGGTAAGAGGAAATCTCCACCAAGGGACTAGTTTAAAACAAACATTGGAATTTGAGGTACTCAGTTGCAAATTATTTTTTTTTACCCATTTCAAATACTTTGCCACGGTGTGTACTTTGTACATTCGCCCACGCCATCATCTACGCACTCCACGGCCATGCCCGCCTCCAAATCGTCGACGACAACGGCAACTCCATCTTCAACGGGGATCACCGTTTAGGCAACCTCATTGTCAACCTGCAGAACTACGCGGTGGTCAAGAAAGCATCAGGCGATGAAGAATTCGAATGGGTTGCGTTCAAGACGAGCGAATACACGATCATCAGCCCGATATTTGGTAGACCGTCAGCAATAAGAGGAATTCCAGCAGATGTGTTGGCAAATTCGTACCGGATTCGGAGGGAGGAGGCGAGGAGGGTGAAAGAGAATAAGGGGGAGGAGTTGTGGGTTTTGGAGCCTAGATATACTACTACTACTATATTCGATACACGCTATTGGTAGTACACTCACATTTCGGTTGTTGTTTCAGAAAGATATACTACTACTATATGGAAGTTTATTCCCTGAACATATCAAAAGTACTTGCCACCATCATCGAGTTATTGTGCTAACTCGATTTTCCAAACACGTACAGTTCACTTAAAAAAAAGATAAAGAAAAGCATATTCGATCTGTGTTTATAGGTAGAAACTGGTACATGTATCATATTCACTAATTGCGTGATTTGATGCACATGTTTCTCAGTATGCTCGAAGGCAACCACATGCATCCATGATCACAAGGCCTTAATCTGAGCTGACAAGCGATACAAGAATCATATCGGCTGCCTGCAGCTCCTCTTGCTTCAGCAACTGTCAATGCCAATGATACGAAGCGCAGAACCATCATGGAAAAATATCACAGGTCTGATTGCCATTTCTTGAAACCTCAAGATCCGTGTACTAGAAATAATAGTTATGAAGGCAATTTATATAGAGTTTAAGGGGAAAGGGGAGCTAAACAAACTTTGCTGGTGTTTGGGTGTGAGTCAATTATTGCATGCATATTCGTATTATCTCTCAACATGCTCCATAAAGATGCTATTTTTATTGAATAAAACAGAAAAATGTATGGACCTGTGGCATGGATAAAACAGCAATGTACATACATACCTGGTACATTAAACTGGCTCTACTAGAAGGTCATGACAAGAAAATCTAACAAAATACGTAACCTCGCTGATTGGAGGAGATGAGGAAAAAGAGGGTTAAATTACAGGTAACAATACCTTTACCTTAAATTTGTATTATATTTACAGTTGAATCCAGTCACATACGTTACCATGGGACTTCCTTAAGCCTATTTTCACAGATAAAAGCATATTGTCATAGATGAGAATCCCTGCATGTAGGCTGCAACTGTGTTTGAATGGCGTTCCTTTGCTTGTTTGATATCAACAATTCTCCTAGTTTGATGTAGCTGCCCTAACAAGAAGGCAACCACACGCTTGCATCTTTTGTTTCTCATCCGCATACCTGGCAAGACACTTTTCGTTCAACTGTGTGATGAATTGATTATCCATTTTATGAGAATATACATTTGATAATTTCATGGCATGCAAGTGCAAATTGAAATAATGATTGATGGGAGGATGCTAAAATAGGTAGTGGTGATGAATGAGAGAGATCTAAGCACATATTTGGCTATTTTAGAGTTCTTTACACAAATTCAAAAGCTAGAGGATATATTTGAAAATGCATATTAGTCATGTGAGTGTATTATATTCTGTAAGTAAATCTTAATCTTATGCTGTGTCTGCTCTCAATTTTAACCTCTATACATGAATCTACAAGTTCGTGAATATTTCCTTGCTAGTCTTATTAGTTCCGAAATTATATATTAGTATGTTAACCTGAATCTCATTAGTACATTATATTGCATATTTCACATATATTCTCTGACTATTCATACATCAGATTCGAAGTGAAGGAAGCTAAAAGACTGCAAAAATGTGCGTTAGAATTCCGAAAGCACAGTGAAAACTTACCTGATGAATTTCACTTCAGATTGGGATCGCACTCTGCACCTCTGGAAGAGACGAAGTTTCTCCTGTTCTTGCCACAGGGTCCCCTGTAATCAACTCCCTCTTCATCTTCCTCTACCTCCAGTTTTACTAAAAAAGATTCAGCACAAGCTTCTGTTTCACTGCCACACTCTTAATAGGTTCATGCTTGGTTCTCATGAGTGCAATCCTATTTAAAGCCTAATAGAAAGACACTGTGCATTGCATCTGAACATAAAAACATTGCCCATATCTTCATGTTCATTAACCTTTTAATTGATATGAACAGAAGGTGCTTCGCGCTATCTAGAAACTCTTATGTCCATTGCATTTGACAGAACATCTGAACCTTATGATAAAAAGTTGGTAACCTCAAATTTCCTTCCAAAATTAGAATCACTGCGAGAATGAAGGATGAAATGCCACCACATGCTTCAGTGGATAACAATACATGAACCTCACAGTTAGGTGTATCTGGCAAGATTTTTTACTGTTAACTACATTTGGCATGCTTGAATGATGATGAATCAGCAGAAATATGAAGAGGAATCACAGCAATAAGAATAAAACTTCAGAGGTTTTAAACCCTCCCAAGTATTTTCAAGTGTTGAATTATATCTATATATACTGCATTATAATTCGTTGAAAACCATGAGCTATGGTTTTAGCTTTATTCAACTACTAGTTAGCTTATATTAATGAACATTTTTAATGGGGCACCTTGCCCTGTTTTCAGTTTCAAAAAATAAATGCCCTGTTTTCAGTTTCAAAAAATAAAAAATAAAACATATATATATATATATATATATATATATATATAAGGAGGAGTTCAGATCTGCAGATCCGGACTCATTGGAGGCCGGAAGGGCGTTGTAAGGTTCAGCTACCGCAACAACGGGGGCGTTGATCTTCCTTCGCTTGCGAGAGGCGGAGGATCTGGAGGAGGAGGACGACAGATATTCCTCGAACTTCAGTTGGTCGAACTCGTATTCGACCACTTCTTCAACCGGGATG